GGCAACTCTCTCCTTTAACTTTGGTTGTAACTTTTAAAATTAATAGTCTAAAGTAAGGGAGATAATTTTTGAAAATGGATGAATGAAAAATTGTTTGGGTCTGCTTTTGTCTGCATGTCTGTTATATCTGTAGGTTTACATGTGTCATGAGGAAGTGATATTTCACTGTAAACTGTATGAAAGAGTTCTAACCATTTGACTTAAAGAAAACTAACAGCTTATCAGACTGATAGAAACTAGCTCAGATCCCCTTCAATTTATGACTTTGTAATCTTTGGTAAGATTAATTTGGTAAATTTAATCTCAAAATTATCTGCAGTCATTTGTAATCTTAAAGTCATGTTATGTTAAATTAAGTAACCTTAAGTTTTTTGTTTTTGTTTTTTTTCCACTGGGAGTTTGGGTTACTAAGAGTTTAATATAGGACTGTAAAAGGTGTTTTTGGTGAAGTTTATAAAACACAAGGGTGGGTCGGGTACAGTGTTTCGTGTCTGTAATCCTAGCACTTTGGGAGGGCAAGGCGGGTGGATCACGAGGTCAAGAGATAGAGACCATTCTGGTGAAACCGCATTTCTACTAAAAATACAAAAATTAGCTGGGCATGGTGGCGTGCACCTGTATGTAGTCCCAGCTACTTGGGAGGCTGAGGCTGGGGAATCTCTTGAACCCAGAAGGCAGAGGTTGCAGTGAGCTGAGATCGAGCCACTGCACTCCAGCCTGAGTGACATAGTGAGATTCCATCTCAAAAAAAAACCCCCCCAAAAAAAACACATACACACAAGGATGTAGCTCTTGCTAAAGAAAATATAATTTTTTTCTAGTTAGGAAACCATTTAAGAGTCACTTTAAGATAAAGAAAAAATTACAGAGATAAAACTAAATGGATAAAATGAGAAAAATTAAGGCAGGGCAATAAAAGTTACCTCTGAGACCTGTGGTACAGAGAAGATAGTCAATGTGAGGGAAGGGCAAAACCAGGTAACTACTAAACCATAGGGTGTAATGTAAAGGAATTGTTCCTTTTTGTAGGTTGGTGTCATCAGCTTCTTGAGAAACTTTTATTATAATGGATAGCAAAAATATTATATAACTACTTTTAGGACAAATCCTTAATTTTAAATCCTACAGAAGGAAAGAGCTTGTTTGGGTTGATGTAAAACCCATAGCTCACTATTAAACAGTCACTGATAGGCTGGGCCTGGTGTCTTATGCCTGTAGTCCCAGCACTTTGGGAGGCCAAAGTGGGCAGATCACCTGAGGCTAGGAGTTTGAGACCAGTCTGACCAACATGGAGAAACCACGGCTCTACAAAAAGTACAAAATTAGCTGGGCGTGGTGGTGCATGCCTGTAACCTCAGCTACTTGGGAGGCTGAGGCAGGAGAATTGCTTGAACCTGGGAGGCAGAGGTTGTGGTGAGCTGAGATTGCACCATTGCACTCCAGTCTAGTCAACAAGAGCAAAACTCCATCTCAAAAGAAAAAAAAAATTACTGATAAGTACATATGATCCAAATGTACAGAATATGATTCCTGAGAGAACAGCCAGCCTAGTGGCCACTGTAAGATCCTTTTTCCCTGTAAGATCTGTTTTCCTTGCCTGACTGCCCTCTAAAATACCAAGTGGAGCACCCTAGATGAAGCACTTAATATGCTTCATGTGTGAGACATGTGGGACTGGCTTTCTGATGACCAAGACATTCTCCCACTGAATATGCCTATTACCCAGGTCATGGTAAATCTGGGGATTAAGGGAGCCCGTTTTTACATGGGTACCTCTCCCACAGAATCATGCAACTGTTTGAGAGGCCTTATCAAATTTGCTGTCCTTCCCTCATGGGACATAAAACATTGGGGTAATTAACAAAAAAAAAAAAAAAAAAAAAAAGAGAAAGGAAAAACGGAGTCGAAGGACTCTCCCTAGAAGGGGTGATGAAAACATCATCCTTTGGCCAGGCATGGTGGCTCATTCCTGTAATCCCAGCACTTTGGGAGGCCAAGGCAGGCGGATCACGAGGTCAGGAATTTGAGACCAGCCTGGCCAATATGGTGAAACCCAGTCTCTACTAAAAATATAAAAATTAGCTGAGTGTGGTGGTGCATGCCTGTAGTCCCAGCTACTTGGGAGGCTGAGGCAGAAGAATCGCTTAAACCTGGGAGGCAGAGGTTACAGTGAGCCGAGATCATGCCACTGCACTCCAGTCTGAGTGACAGAGCAAGACTCCTTCTCAAAGAAAAAAAAAAAAGAATATATCACCCTTTTTGATGGTTATTCACTGTTTGCCCCAGATTGGAAAATTAAAAAAAAAAAAAAATCAAAAGGCAAAGGTTATCATGAGAAAGCTGACATTGCCTGGGGCAATGCTGAGGCAAATTAGGATAAAAAATTGGCAGAAGAGCCTGAGTCCCTTGGCTTAACTCCCTGCTGGGAACCCAAGCCTTTTTTCACCAGAAAAGGTAAAAGGACCAGGGGGTAAAAAAGAAAAGTTCTTGGGACCAGAACATAAAAATGTACTGGTTGATAGGATTATGAAATTTGAGATGTTTACATAAACAGGCTTTATGTAAGTTAGTTGTAACTCCTTTATCTAAGTGTCTTGTGAAAATGGGTGCTGTCTGGGAGGTGGGGATTGCAAGGTTGCAGTGAACCGAGATCGTGCCATTGCACTCCAGCCTGGGCAAGGAGCGAAACTATGTCTAAAAAGAGCAGATTTACATGCCTTCAGTTTTATGGTATTGATAAGGAAAACATCCCTCAGTTAGATACACTGCATTCAGTGCCACTGCACTCCAGCCTGGGCAACAGAGTGAGACTCTGACTCAGGAAAAAAAAAAAAAGAATTTCCTGCTTCCTATAGAATTAAAATAAAATAATTATTGAGAGGATAATAGGATAAAGATACCTTGTGACTCACCCAGCCTCCAGGGTGTAATACTCCTGTTATAAGTTGTACAGGTAGATATATATGAAAAAATTTTTTTGAACAATGCTTATGTTTTGTATAGCTAATTGCTGTAAGTCTCTAACTAAAACCAAGATTATAGTAGCTCAATGCATAGAAGTTTAAAATGAGTTGATTTTGTAAGCTCACCTTTGGCTTTTTGTTTGTTCACTTTCTACTTAAAAGAAAAAAATAATTTTAAAGGCCAATGAATGCCTGTCCATGTCCATTCCTGTCTGGTCTAGAGCAATTAATTGGCTGTAAGTCTTGTTGGCTGTTAAGTCTTGTTGACTGTAAGTCCCTTGGCCACATGGAGTCCCACAGAGGGACAGGATGGACATGGGGCAGGCAGCCATGTCACCCAGGCAATGCTATGGAACAAAATTAAAATTTGGTGGCCATTGAAGTTGTCTCTGGCAAATCTTGGCCAGAAGGGGGAGAATGTAAACTAAAAATAAAATTCAAAGGCCTCACCATCCACCCTGCAACCATCTGAATAGACTCCCTCCTCGGCCAGGGCACTCTAAAATTTAACCTGAAAGGCTGGTTGAGGTCATGACGGGAAGCATGCCTCATTATATCCCTCCAGCATTGACATCAACGCAAACCTTAAGTCTGATAAGAAACATTTACAATCTATTTTCTCTGAAGCCTTCATCTTCATGATAAAACCTAGGTCTCCAAAACCCCTCATCTTAACCCAAACATTCCTTTCTGCTGATGATTACTCTTTCAACCAATTGCCAATCAGAATATGTTTAAATCTAACTGTGGCCTGGAAGCCCCTGGCCCTGCCTTTGAGTTGTCCCGCCCTCCAGATCCAACCATTGTAAATCCTACATGTTCTGATTGATGTATTATGTCTCCTTAAAATGTATAAAAGCAAGCAGTACTTTGACCACTTTGGGCACATGTCCTCAGGACCTCCTGAGACTGTGTCATGGGTATATCCTTAACCTTGGCAAAATAAACTTCGTAAATTGATCGAAACTTGTCCCAGATACTGTCTGGTTTACACAGCTTACACCTAGTGGGGGTAGTTTAAGAGACACTTTGGATACATTATCTTGTTTAATCCTCATAGCAACTCTTAAAGGCAGTTGGAAGCTAAGAAATTTGCCCAAAAGGGTAAAGCCAGGTCAGGTGTGGTTTAAGAGGCAGGCTCTAGCATTGAGGTAAAAATCTCAGTTTTCTGCTGCCACCTTCCAGAGAGCCAAGAGAACCCACTCTTGCCTTCCAAGGAACATGCCTGAAAGTTATAAGAGTTGGGTAGGTGACTACAGCATGCATCCATGAAGAACTCTAGCTCTGAGATCTATTCACATCTTGGCTTTGTCACCCATTAACTTTGTAACCTTGGTCAAGTTACTGAGTCTCTCTATCCATAGTTTTCTTACCTGTTTAAGAGAGTAATAAGGCTGTATTGAGTTTCCTTTTTTTTTTTTCCTGAGAAATACCCAGTCCCACTTCTGTTGACAGTGACCACATTTTGCTTTCCCTATTCCCAGTTGGGAGAAATGGGGGTGTGGGAGGCATGTTATTCAAGCTAGCCAGTGACATGCTCTCTGGAAATGAATCTTCAGTGGGATAACCCAAAGATTAAATCCCACTGGAGCTCATTCATCTAGATGCCCTGACAAAAATCTTGCCAGTTTCTGCACCTCAGACAAGGCATCTTCTCCATTCCTCATCTTATATGACTACTTCTGCTTCTCCTTCATTCTGTGAGCTCCCTCTACAACCTGCCCCACCAAATCTAGTAATTTTTCTGTTTAAGTTCATTAGAGCCAGTTTTTATTGCTTACAACAATAACAATAAAAACCCCTACTTGATCCAAACACCTACCTTGCAATGCTGTAAAAATTAAATGATACCAAGTGTGTCAAGTGCCTAGCTCAGTCCTGGCAGCAGAGCAACCAGTCAATAGGTGGTGACAGCTGTCTGTCAGCTACCACTTGGGGCAGGGCACAGGGAGGCAGAGGGGAGATTGTTACTGGTGTGCATTCCACTGAGAAAAACCTTCCCCCAGGAGATAGAAGGACAAACAGGAGGGAGGGAAGTCCAGGCTATGATATGCTCATTTATTCCAAATGTCTTTATTGAAACAGAATGACAAAGCAAGAAAGAATGAGGTCTGGGAGGATGTCTTTGGGTGCAGGATGGAGCCCAGACCCAGTGGTTACAGTGTGGAGCTCTTTCCCTGTCCCCTGACTCTGGCCAGGGAAGTGAACGCAAAGCAGCAGGGAGGAGGCAGGGTGGGGGCAGCCCTCTGAGCTCTCCACGATGGCTGGTGTGAGGTACCTCTGAGCCTTCTGGGCAGCCCTCCCTTCCCTACTCAGTCTTCCCGATCTTGCCACCTTTCTGTGTGGGCCAGCCTCCCGTCAGGGTACTCAGAGGCCACTCAGAGGGCAGGGTTGGGGGTGGCAAGCAGCGGGACATGGTCACAGCGGTTAGGGGGTGGCTGTCGCAGCAGGGAAGGCCGGCGACACAGCTCCCCATCCCGGAGGACCTCGGGCAGGAGCTTGCGCTTGGTCTCCGGCAGCAGCATAATGCTGAGAATGCAGAGGAGGGCGCAGGCTGCCAGTACCACGTGCTGCAGGAAGGCTCCATGGCCCATGTGGAGGCGCTGGGCCGGGCCGCTCAGCCCCCCCAAGCGCCCCCAGTGCCATGATCAGGCCTAGGCCACGGCCCCTAGGGGAGACAGAGGGGAATAGCCCAGCCCACAGCTGTGCCCTTGCCTACCCTTTTCCCGCAGACCCCTCCTCCAGCCTGCAGGCACTGTCCTCAGGCAGAAGGACCTGGCTCTGCCCCCAGGGGCACCCATTATCTCACCGAACAGTGGTGGGGATGACTTCAGCAGCAAGGAGGGTGCTGAGGATGGCGGCAGCTTGGGAGGAGAAGAGCCCAAGGACAGAGAAAGTGGTGACGGCAGCCTCATTCAGATCTGGAGAAGCAAGAGGGATGATATGAACGGAGGTGTGGAGGCCAAGGCTGGCCTAGTCCCCGGTGTCATCCCCTTGGCTCTCTGTTCCCATGGGTCTAGCTGGGCAGGCTCTGGGCATTCAGTAATTGACTGGGAGAGCAGACAGGGCATGTGGCCAGGTAGAGGCTTGTGGAAGAGCTGGGCAGGGTCTGGGGCTTGTCTTGGGAGGCCTGTGCCAGAAGAAATGGCTGAGCCTGTCTGAAGCACCTCTGTCGGGTTTCCCTTGTTGAGCCCACACTGTGGGGAAGGTAGGATGCTCACAATCCCACAGGCCCAGCAGGACGAGGGAAGCAATGCCGGTCAGGGTCATGGAGAGAAGAAGGATGCCCCGGCGGCCAAATCGGTCCACGGTAACACCCAGGAAGACACAGGCCAGGGCTGCGGTGCCGCTGGCCAGCAGAGAGCACAGGTAGAAGTCTGATGGGCTCCCTCCTCCTCCCACAGGCTGGTAGCAGTGGCGAATGGCATGGGCAATGAAGCTGTGAGAAGGGGTGGGGAAGCAAAGAACAGAGTCTGAATCCCCTCCTGCAGCCTTCCACCATGCTGATGATCCTCTGCAGGGGTCCCTCCCACCCAGCCAGCCCCCATTCCAGCTACTGGCCAGGCCCTCAGCCCAGACACCCAGGCTCACTTGGTGAAGCCCAGGATAAGTAGATTTTTCCAGATGTTGCGGTAGTTGAGGAGGGAAGCGAAGGAAAAGGAGGATGTTGCAGGGAGAGGGCAGGTATTCTCCAGGTCTTTGGGAGAGAGAGAGGAGCTGTCAGAAGAAAACCCTGAGAAGACAGGATCCTCCCACATGGGTGGTACGGACTCTGGGGAAGGTGGCACAGCTGCAACCATTCAGAGGGCACTGTCATGTGTGCAAGTGAGGCAACACTCGCAGGGACCCCATCTCTTACCCTGCAGGGCCTCCTGGGCTTCCTCCCCTAGCATCTGCCCATGGGGCCGGTTTCGCTCAGCCAGGATCCTCAGCACAGACTGAGCCTCTTCGATCTGCCGCTTCACTATCAGCCACCGCGCGGACTCCAGGAACAGACCAGGCCAGCTGTGGGCAGGGTGGAAGGGGTACACTGTGAGGCCTCCCCTCTCCTGATCTAGGGGTGGGAAACACCCACCTCTGAGGGACTGGGGCTGGGGTAGGCCTGGACCAGGAGTGGTCGGAGAAGAGGAGGGGTCTTTGGGCTAGGGCTAGTTTGGAGGCAGAGATGGGAATTGCCAGATGACAGGTGAAGGGCAATACTGACCCATAAAACAGGAAGAGGATGCAGGGAGCGGTGATCATTCGCTGCAGGAATCGCCAATCCTTAGAGACAAGGGCCAGGCCCAGGAACAGGAAGTGCCCTCCCACCCCCACCAACTCCCCTGCCAGGGCCACCCGAAGCCTCTGTGTTGGGTCGCACAGCTCCAGGCCTGGAGATACAGCAGGGGTGGAAAGAGGAGAGGGAGGCCAGGGAGGAAGAAGGCACAAGAGAGAAGAGGAGAGAGGGAGGGAGGAGGACAGAGAGCGAGGTCAGACCCAGAGTGGAGGCTGCAGCCCTTGCCTCCCTTGCTAACCTCTGGGTGACATGGATTGGAGAGACTGTTCAGTCCTCTCTCCTCTCCTGCTCAAACCTAGGAGGGCTCTAGGGCCAGAGTCCCTGGTGAGTGTTCAGCATTTCCAGTTTATAGGCCCTTTCACATCAGGCCTCTTATTTGACCTTCACATTAACCCTTGTCCAAGGTCACACAGCCAGGGACAATCCTTGTCCCTGGACTTCCTGCTCCCAGGGAATAGCATCTTATTCCCTGGGAGCAGTAAGTCCGGGGCAAAGACTTTAAAGATTGTGGGGAGGGGGAGACAGGTGTGGAGAGAAGCAAGAGCCCTGGATTCTTTAAGGGCCTGGGCAGAAAGATAGCTGAGATTCTAGGCAGCTGAAATGTGGCCTAGGGGGCAGTGGGGACAGCCTGGGGATGCAGGCAGGTAGGCATGACACCCAAGGGAGGGAATTCTGGGAGGGTGGCACTTACGCATTAGGTAGACACCCAGGTCAACACCGGCAAGCAGAAAGCCGAGGAGGAATCGGAGTGCCATCACGCCTGTGGAGGAGCCTGCAGCAGCCCCTCCTACTCCACAGGGACCCACCAGCCCCAAGGTCAGCAACACAATCCCACGACGGCCAAACCTAGAAAGTGGAAAGGGCTTTCGGTCACCCAGACTCTCTGGTGGTGGGGAGGTTGCTGGGTGAAACGGAGTTGCACACTTCAGAGCTAGAGGTTTGAGAATGAAGATCTGAGAGCAAGAGCTGGACAGAGGCTTGAGAAGATGGGATGGGATGGGGACCATGGGTGTGGCTGTGATTCTGTAAGAGGTGGGAACATTGACTCTTGCGGATGAGGGCTATTGTTCAGAGATTAGGGCACTTGTCATTGGATGTGAAATCACTCATCAGAAGGGATGGTATATTGCTTAGGAGATTTGGGACCATTCATCCTTAGGAATAGAGCTAAGGGTCAGTGGGGATGGAGTTTGTCTTGCTCAGACTGTTCAGAGGAGATTTGGGGGAGGGTCATTGATATATGGAGTCAAACTATTAACCTGTGGAGGGGAGCTATTGGCCACTTATGCATGGGGATACTACTGGTCAGCGAAGGTAAAGTTAATGATATTAGGGGACCGAGTAATTGGTTTTTGGAGATGAGACCATTGTTCCATGGAGGTGGGACACTGGTCTATTAATATGTTAAGGATGTTGAGTAGGGGCCAAGTGCAGTGGCTCAAGCTTGTAATTCCAGCACTTTGGGAGGCCAAGGAGGGCAGATCACCTAAAGTCAGGAGTTCAAGACCAGCCTGGCCAACATGGTGAAACCTGGTCTCTACTAAAAATATAAAAATTTGCCAGGTGTGGTGGCACACACCTGTAGTCCCAGCTACTTGGGAGGCTGAGGCAGGAGAATCACTTGAACTCGGGAGGTGGATGTTGCAGTGAGCAGAGACTGCACCACTGCACTCCAGCCTGAGTAACAGAGCGAGACTCCATCTCAAAAAAAAAAAAGAAAAGAAGAAAGGTCAGTGGGCAGTGGGGACATGGTCATGGGCCTGTTAATCTGTGGGGTAGGACTATTGATCAGTGGGAAGAACTATTAATCCATGGGGATAATCAGTAAGGATAAGGACACAGACCAGGAGAGATGACACTATTGGTAAGTGATGATGGTCACTAACTATGAGTTAGTGAAGACATGATTACTGATCCTTGGAGGCTGGGCTATTGATCTTTGGGGATAAGACCACTGATCTATGGAGATGAAGATAGGGAGCCTGTGGTCATTGGAAATCAGGCACCAATCCCTGGGAGTTAGGCTATTGACCTAATGGCGTGGGGCATTTTTCCATTAGGATGGACTTATTGACTAATGTGCTGAAGACTACTGATTTTAGGAGACCAAATTATTGATCTTTGGGGATAAAACCATTGTTCTATAGGAATGAGGCTACTGGTCTGTGGCACTGAGGCCACTGATGCATAGGGATGGGCCATTGACCTGTGGGTTTAGGGTCATTGGTCCACAGAGGTATGTGACTACTGGGCAGTGAAAATGGGTACTGATTTTAAGGAATTAACTACTGAGTGTTGGGATGCCTTTGATCCATAGACGTTGAACTATTTATCCACTTGGATGGAATTGTGGATCAATGGGACTGAGTCTAATCCTCCATGAGGATGTTCAGTGCAGTGAGAGCACCTGGTCAGTGGTGATGGTGACCAGAATCAGAGAAGAGATTTTTGATCTGTGGGAAGAGTTATTGGTTGCTGGGATTGGGCAGTTGATCTCTGCAGGTGAAGCTACTGACTCATGGAAATGAGGATTTTGTGAGAGAATCTCAAATCCCTGAGGATCCATGAGGGTGGGACTATTATTCATCCACAGAGGCTGAGGTCATTTGGTGGCAGGCATGGGGCTGTGGGTTATTGAGTTGGAGGGTATTTTCTTTGGAGATAGTTATTGACTTGTAGGGGAGGGGCCGCTGGTCAGAAATGGGGTAATTTGTTCGTGAAGTTGAACTACTGGTCAGTGGGAATGGAGCTGTTGGTGTTTAGGAATTAACATATTGATCTTCAGGAATGAGGTCATTGACATGGAGCTGACAGTCCACGTGGGCTATTAGTGGGGATGAGACTATTCTCTGGTGAGATGAGGCCATTGATTCACGGATCGGGGGCCACTAATCAGTGGGAATGGGGCCAATAGTCCATGGAGGTCGAGTCATTCCCTTGCACGTAGGAGGTAGGGAAGGTGTATTTCTTGATGGGGAGTGAAGTTGAGACAAGGGTAAGCCATTGAATAGAAGTCTGGAGAAGACTGTAGAGTCCAGTGAATCGTCTTCGACCTCTTGCAAACGCCCGCTGCTTGGGCTAGCTTCCCTAGCACCCCCTCCTTTCTACCAGCCCTGCCCCCACGACAGCCCTCACCTGTCTGCGGGGTAACCCAGGAACAGGTAGCCGGAGGCAAAGCCCAAGATGAAGAGGATCTGCTCCAGGATCACCTGCCAGCCCAGGTCACACACCAGATCCCACTGGGGATGTGAGAAGGGTGCAGCGGGCGTGAGGCCCAGCCCTCGCCGCTCTCTGCCCGCCCCCAGACCCGCGGCCCGCCTGGCCGCCTCACCTGGCCGATGGCGTTGGTGGTGAGCACCGGCAGGCCATTATAGTCCCAATCCTTGAGGCAATGGTTGAAGTCCGGCGGTGCGAAGCCGCTGCACGAGGGGTCGGTACTGGTGGCAACACGGCTGGCGGCGCTAGCTGCTAGGGCCGCGCTGGCGACGCTGACGCCGCTGGCATTGGGGGGCTGCTCCCAGCCAGTGGCATTGGGGGGGAAGACCCCGTAATGGCAATGCAGCGGAGGCGCCAGCGTGAAGATGGGGTCCGAGGCCATGCCCAGCGCCACGAAGAGCACCGGCAGGCAGCAGAGGCCGAGCTGCAGCTGCTGGCCGCCGCCCAGCGCCCCCACCTGGGCGAGCAGAGCCTCAAAGCTGAGGGGGCCGGGGGGCACGGCCAGCGACAGGCTGCTGCCCAGTCCGTCGCCGCCCGCGTCGCCCTCCCCCTCCCGCTCGCGCTCCCGCTCACCCTGCAGCTGCTCCGTGGGCACCGCATCTCCGAGGGTCCCGACCTGCTGTTGGGGGGCAGGGGGTGGCAGGAAAAGGGTGAAGCGGAGGAAACCGCAGAGCAAGGGCAGGGGGCGGGCCGGAGCGAGGGCTAGGCAGGCAGTCAGGGGCGCGGGATGCGCAGGAGGAAAATGCCGGGCGCTCGGCGGGGGCGGGGGTGCGGGGAGAGGATGGCGTCGCCACCTGGGGCGTGGGCACTTACTCCGTTGGAGGTGGGGGTGATCTCTACAGTGTTGTCGATTTTGCCGCCGCCCCCGCCATTGGGCTCGGGGGTCCCAGTAGCCACCCGGGGAGCCAGCTTGCCGACCGCAGGGCCCCTGCCGGCCTGCCCCGAAAGGATGCGCTGTCCTCTGGCCCAGTTGCGTGCCGGCTGCCCCGACACAGAGAACCCGAAGAGATCCCGCTCTGCAGCTCTGCAGCCGCAGGCGCCTCCTCGGTCTCTGCGATCCCTGCGCTGCTTTCCCCTCCCCTTCCTCTAGACTCTCCTCCCCTTCCCACGTCAGCAGAACCTTCGGTCCAGACTCTTCGTCACAGAGAGGAAGGGGGGCCAGGGCCCAGGGGAGGGAGGGGAAGGGGGCTCTGTCGTCTCTTTCCTGGGTCTGCGGGCCATTGCGGTAAAAAGGAAAAAAAGCTGAAGGATAGTAGCTAGTCCAGGCAGATGCCAGAGATTCTTCCTCTGCTTCCAATCATTTGCCATCACTCATTCATTCATTCATCCACTCATTCACTAATCAGTAAAATTTAAGTGTCTCCTACGTTTTAGGACTTGCACTTGACTTTAAGGTTAATAGGGTAGACAAGGTCCACCTTGGAAACCATTACTCCAGGGAGACGGACATATAAGCTGGCTACTGCAGTCCAACTTATGCATATGGAAGACTGGCTTGGCCCTGTATTCAGCCCTAGCTAGCTTCAGTCCTCTACAAGGAGATCACTTCCCTAGGTTTCACCACTCCCATCCTGGTTGAATCTCCATTTCTCAACAGCATTTGGCACTGTTGACCCCCTCTTTCTCTAAACACTGTCTTCCTTGGCTGCTAAGTCCCTTCTGCTCCCCTTTTCTCCACTGCAGAAACCATCTTCCAGGTCATGGCATTGGTGCTGAGCATGGGCAGGCCATTATAGTCCTGGTTCTTGAGGCAGTGGTTGAAGTTCAGCGGGGTGAAGCAACTGCAGGAAGGGTCTGTTATTGGTAGTGACAAGGCTGGTGGTGCTGGCTTCTAGGGCCATTCCTGTCTGTATCATTTAGACACCATCGTTCAGTGTCTGGAATCCTAGAGACAGCCCTAGGCCCTTCTCTCATTTCACACTCTCCACCTTGGGATCTCACCCATGCCCGCAGCTTCAATCACCACCCATACAAACAATACAAACCTGATGCCCAAACTGACAACTCCAGCTTCCACCTCTGTTCTGAGCTCCAGACCCACCTCTTATCTGACCTTCACCTTGGATGACTCACAGGGACCTCCAACTCGGTATGTTCAAGACCAAACTCGTGCCTTCCCCCTATAACTTGGTTGTCCTCCACTGCTTCTTTCTGCAGTGAATGGCACCCTCAACATCGCATTGCTTCCAGATGCTCAGGCAATAGGCCTTAAAGCTTTTTCTTCCTTACCCATGTTGAATCATTTACAAAATTCTGTCCATTTTACCTCCTATATATTCTCAGATATCCCACATCTCTCCATCTCTACCAGTAATGGACAAACTACCTGTTGGAAAGATCACTTTGGCTCCCTAATTCCTAACTGACATTCTGCTTCCACTTTGTTTATACATCCCTGCCACCCATATGTCATTTATAGTGCAGATGGAATGATCTTTTCAAAATGCAGATCTGATCGTGTGCCTTCCCTGCTAAGCAGCCTTCAGTGGTGTCTCCTCACTGCCAAGGTGAATATTAAAACTCTAGATACCTCATACATAGTTCTGCATGCCGGGTCATATGTGCTCTGTAGTTCCTTCTCACTTATTTCCCCAAACTCTCTGCTTTCCAGCCACAGACCTTCCTCTAGTTTTCCCAGTGCCACAAGGCCTTTGAACAAGCTGGTTCCTGCACCTAAAAAGCTTCTTAGTCACATTTCCCTCATCCTTCAGCTCTCAGCTCAAGCATCTTTGCTAGAGAAGCCTTCCCTAACCTCTAGAATTGCTACTCAAAGTGTGGTTCATGAACTAGCAGCATACCTGGGAGCTCATTAGAAATACAGAATCCCAGACCCTTGAATCCTAATCTGTATTTTAACCAGATCCCCAGGTATAGGTATAATACATTAAAGGTAGAGACACACTTCTCTAAGAGATTTGTTACCTGATAGGTGCTTCAATCTCTAATCGTAGGTAAGGGCTGGAAAGGAGTTTTCTATCATGGTCAGCCAGAAAATCATTCCCCCTTCTCTCCACTGAACCACACCTTTAACTTAACTCCTCTGTTCAGAAATTTTCCATATATGGGAAATTCTTTTTTTGAGACAGGATCTCACTCTCTTGCCCAGGCTAGAGCACAGTGGCTTGATCACAGCTCATTGCAGTCTCCACCTCCCTGGCTCAAGTGATCCTTCTACCTCTGCCTCCCAAGTAGCTGGGACTACATGCACATGCTACCACACTTGGCTAATTTTTTGATGTTTTGTTAAGACAGGGTCTCACTGTGTTGCCAAGGCTGGTCTCATACTCTTGAATTCAAGCAGTGCTCTAGCCTCAGCCTCCCAAAGTGCTGGGATAAAGGTGCGAGCCACCACGCCATGCAGATCCTCCAGAAAATGGTTTGTCCAGAAGGATGATGAGTAGGTCATCCTGCGATATCTACCTGGGAAGCTGAGTGAAAGCCTGGACCCTCTTGGGGTCACTTAAGGAAGAGGGTGCCCAGACTGGCCAGCAGCAGTCTCTAGTTGGCCAGAGCTATCCTGTGGTGCAAAGCTGAGGCTGGGCCTTTAGTTGGGGTGGCCTTTCCAGGACGGCACATTTCAAGGTCCTTGTGTGGCCAGCTTCTCTCCACATTGACACCTCTCTAATGACATCATTGGACAATGAAGTCTTGAAGGAAGGCTCTCAGGTCAGTCATCGGGGTTTGCCTTCTTGTGACACTAGTCCTTGGACTCTACTCCTTTAGGTTTCGGTTCAGATCTCACCTTTCAACCATCCTGTCTAAAGTCTCCTTCACTGGCCTCTCCTCTCATCTACTTAGTTTCTTCATATCACCCTGCTGATTTCCATCACCAGCAAATGTCAAATCTATGGCAGGTTTGTGTTTTTATTTATATATGTTAACTGACTTATTTGTGTATCCCACTGGAATGATACATTCACAATATACTTGCAGAACTGTGCCTGGACCATCATGAGAGCAAAAAACTTGTCCAGTGAATAGTTGTTGAAGAAAGGAGCAAAATCTCCCCCAAACCCCAAAAGGCATCCTGTTCAGTGTGTGTCCAATAGGTATAGCTGCTGAGCACCAGGGCTGCTCACCATGCTCCCAAGAGGCAGAGTCAGGGAGGCAGACAGCAGGGTTTATTGAGGTGCACACCCATGTCTGGGTCCCAGACATGGGTTTTCTGGACTCTTTCCTGCCTTCTGTGGGGAGAAGCCCTCTGGTCTCTCCGAGACCTTCAATCTCTGGGCAGTTTATGTCTTGCCCTCTCGGCTAATAGTGCAGCACTGATCTTCTAGTGCCAAGAAACAGAAAAAGAGAGAGGCTCTGTATGGCCCCAGGTTTTTGCCACCTGACTCTTCATGGTCAGTCTTCCAGAGGTGGGTGGCAGTGCAGTAACCTCCACCCTAGGCTGAGGAGAGAAGGGTCCAGTTCCTCCCTGCCCCAGAGCCTAGTACCTGCTCCTGACAAAACAGGGAATAGTATTAAATATAAATAATTTATACAAAATGGCTCGTACAAAAAGCTGTGGGTTGGGGGAGAAGACGCCTCTGTGAGAGGCTGAGATGACAGAAAGGGCAGGAGAAGGGAAAGATACCTTCACCTCTCCTAGTCCCTTAACAAAGTCCTCCAGCCACCTAAGGCTGGAGGGGGGCTTTGGCAGGCAGGGGAGGGGCAGCACTGTGCCAAAGGACCTTCAGGGAGCCAGGCTGGTGAGCAGGGTGGTGAATCGCAGGGCCTGTCCTGCCAGTTCTGTTACACACTGCACCATCTCTTGGATTGCAGGGCTGGATGGGTAGCCCAGGGCAGCTCCCTTGACAGCCAGCACAGTGGCCCGCAATGCCTGGCCCAGTGCTGTACCTGCAGCCCTGACCTGTGCTCGGAGAGGGGCAGAGGCTGCCAGCCGGCCCAGGGTGTCCCCAACAAACACCAGGCGGTGAGCAGCCACCACCACCCTCTTGCTGTGGGGCACGAAGAGGCGTGGGGGCTGATTAGCCTGGGTATTGGACATCAGGGCTGCCACGGCCGCCTGCAGGGCTGAGTAGTGGCTCTGGCATTGCCCAGCGTAGAAGTGCAGGAGCTGTAGGTCTCCAGTGGACAGAACCAGCGGCTCCCCTGGGGACAGGGACTCCTGAGGGGCAAGAGGAGTGGTCAGAGGGAACATTCTCATTAGTGCCATTTCCTCCCTCACTTCTTTTCTCCTTCCTCCCTTTCTTCCCAAGGGCAATACTTTTAATTCTTATCTCTGCCCATCAGAAAGTTTAGATTCTAGAGAGAGTGGCAGTGAAGTGCCCAATGCTTGATATCAGATACATCTGGATTCAAATAACCTCAAACTTGATTTCAGACAAGGCTTTGAACTTGGTTTCCTTAACTCTAAAACAGGGAGTCTAGGACTGTACTGTCCAGTATAAACATTATGGAAACTACATATGAAATTTTAGATGTGTTAGTAGCCACATTAAAAGCAGTAAAAAAAAAAAAAAATCCTGGTATATTTTATCTAACTACAAATATAAAAATGTTATATTTTCAACATATAATCAATATGAAAATTACTGATATTTTTTCCCAGACTAAGTCTGCAAAATCCAGGGTGCATTTTATATTCATAGCATATTTCAATTTGAACTAGCCATATCTTGAGTGCTCAATAGCTATATGTAGCTACTGTACTAGATAGTGCAGTACTAGTATGTACCTCATGAGGCTGCAGTGAAGATCAATTGAGATGATGTAGAGAAAGGGCTTAGCACAGAGGTTTGCATTGCACTCCATGAGCACCAGATGTGTATTTTTTTTTTTTTTTTAAAGCTGGGTTTTCACCATGTTGTCCAGGCTGGTCTCGAACTCCTGACCTCCAGTGATCCGCCCACCTTGGTCTCCCAAAGTGCTGGGATTACCGGCGTAAGCCACCATGCCCAGCCTCAGATGTGTATTAACTGTGACTATGGTTAATACTAACGCATGCAATGTGCCTAGCACAGGATCTGGTACTTGGTAAACATCTGATAAATGGCAGCTATTGTGTTGCGACCATCTACACAGGGTTGAGGAAACCACCTCACTTTCTGAGGCCTGGAGAGATTAACTGGCTGCTTCAAAGCCCCTGGCTTCTCAATAGTGGAGTTGGGATTAGGAGCCAGGTCTCTTAGGAGCCCAGGAATTCACAGTTGGAAGGAAGCTTAGAAGTCCCCAGGCCCAGCTCTGACCCCACAGCTCAGAAACTTTCTGCTCTCCTGGCTGCTTGCTTTTCTGACTCCTCTCCAACACATTCTTTCCCCTCTTTCTGAATTCCTAACATCCTCTTCCAAGTTCCAGTTCCTTCCTGTAGGATTCTAACTCGCCTCCACTCTGTCCCTCCCTGCTTCCTGTGAACTCTCACTCCATCCTAACCTCTTTCCTTCCATGTTCGATGGCTCAGCTTTTCTCCCAAGTCCCTGTTCCTCCCTCACCAGCCCCCTTCCCTAGCACCATTCCCACCAGGGTCACCTGTGGTGCTGCTGGCATCCGACTCTCAGGCAGTTCAGGATCCTCTGTGCAGGCCTGATCCGGGGGCCTGGGTCCCTGAGCTTTGTCCATGCCCTGCAGGAGGGAATTGAGTCTCAGTGCTGGGGTGAGGGAGCAGGACGGGGTGGCCTCTGTAGCCTTTCTGCCCCTTCCTAGCCCCACTTCCTTCCCAAGGACACTTCTCTTATCAGAGGTTGTAGTCCCTTGACTCTAGAGAGCTCTGGTGGCCCCAGGCTGGGTCTAGAGGAAAACGGTGTGGCACTGGTACAAGTGTTGTGGCCAAGTACTGAAGTTGCAGGGTGGAGGGCCAAGGGAGAGGGAAGGGGGACAGAAGGGAGGCAGGGAGGCTCTGCCTCTGTGCCCTAGGCCTCCACATTCCTCCCCTTGGTCTCCCAAGGGTCCCCCTGGTGGGGCTGTTGAGGGGCACTCACCTTCAGGTGGACGTAGTCATACTCCTCGGCCATCGGAATGCCCTCGTACTCATTGTGGTGTCCTGCTGGGTCGTCTTGCACCTCCCTGCCCTCTGGATCCCACTCAACCTTGGTGCCCCCAAAGCCAGGCAGGCGGGGTGGAGGTGGGGGCAGAGGCCGGTCCTGGATGCTGCCCTTCCGTCCTGGGGCAGGAGAGGGTGCTGGGGAGGGGCTGGGAGCCTCAGGGACAGGCAGGGCAGGGAGAGGGCGGCGGGACAGGCTCTCAGCTGAGGGGAGCCGAGGCCTGTGTGGAGGTGGGGGACTTCTGGGCAGAAGCTGGGCCATGGCGTCCAGGTGAAGGGAGGCCGAGGCTCCAGGGGACTCTGGAGAAGGGGGAGCCTCTGGCCCCAGCAGGGGCACATCGTAGATCCCCTCATCAGTGCCCCTGCCCTCCCTGTCTGCCAGCAGTTCCTCGGGTGCTTCATATAGATTGAGTAAAGCTGATGCTCGTTTCAGGTTGGAGGGAGCAGTGTAGATGGGGGGCCCTGGCTCTCGGCCTCCTTCCCATTCCAGATCTGGTTCCAGCTCTGCAGATGGCTTTGGGGTCAGAGGCACATCATAGGGAGCATCATCCTCTTCAGGGGGCTGCAGGGCAACCCGGGTCAGAGGGTGGGAAAAGGAGGCGGGGCAGTCATAGGGGCCACTGGAGGGCCCCCGGAGGGCGGTAGGGGGCACATCGTAGACCTGTGGAGAGGAGTGGTCAGTTACCTGTCAGCTCAGCAATGAACCCTCCCTTGGGGCCATCTGTCTCCCACCCAACGTACACAGGGACCTCTAACCCTCACCTCCAAGACATCTCTGGGGGCAGCCAGCTGGGTCCCACTGGCCCTGGGGATCTTGTAGATGGGGTCAGGAGAGGGTGGGCGAGGTCCAGCTGGAAGTCCTGAGGCTGGACAGGGCCGAGCTGGGGGTGGCACCACATATACCTGAGGGATCAAATAGATGGGGGATCAGGAGGAATGGAGGGAGCAGTGATCAGATAATGTCTGAGTTCAAGGAGCTTAGAGACCTTCCAACTCCCTCTATACTGAGAGGGCCACAGCTCAGAATGTTTGGTAGACAAGTTTTGTCCAGTGCAGAGCAGTGAAGAGCTGTGGCCTCAGGGTTCTCCCTGCCCACCTGCTGCAGGCCCTGGGTAGG